TAGCTCAAGGTGTATATGAGGCTCAGATTCTGTTTGGAGTCTGAAACATCAGTGAGAAAGAGCTACCTATCATGTCGTCTTGTCTTGACATCAGTACATGTTTCACAGTAAAGAAAGAACAAGAGTTGAAGGGAAAAATGCCCTGAGACAGTTCCTGAGAAGTCAAGTGATGGAGCTGTCTCATTCAAAAAAAACAAAAAAAACCAGAAAAGTGGTTCGGCGTGAGAGGTGAATCAAATCAAAATCACAAGAAAAGCAATTCTCCACGCTTGAAATACGTCAGCTGCTTTCTCGAGTGAATAAAGGTTGAAAACTGGTCATGACAAGATAAAGACATGGTAGTGTGAAAGCTAATCATTGGTGCGAAAGATGACCAGACACCTTGAATCAGGACGAGCTGAGTATGTGCTGCGAGCTGTGTGCTACATCAATTTCTGTGTACCTTTGCCGCACAAGGTAAACCAAAAATCTGAATCAAAAGTTATTTCAAAACCAGTTTAAATTCTGACATATGAACTATCATTATCAGTTTAATCCCCATTGTGTTCTTAAATAAATGTGGATGTGTTGATGTTGTTCTCTGTCGGCTCTAATGGTTGAATTCAGAATGTGTTGCAGTGTTCCGAAGAGTTTTCAAATTTTCCTCCTGATCTGTGTCATTGGTTTAAGATGATAGATCTTATCGGGAAAAAGGCAAAAGCTGAGATTCTTCTATGTCTCAGTCGCCTGCATCAGGTGTTGAAGCAAGTAAGTATTCTGAAGGGAGATCAATATTTTGCCTAGCTTCGATTGGGTCAGTTTGTGTACCAGTGGGTAAAAGTTAGCCATGAAGGGATGCGTGAAGCTCTTGAAGTCAACACTACAGCTCTCCCAAACGTCACTGTCATCATTCAGAGACTGCATCAGATTGTAAAAGGCATGTGTTCTATTCCCTATGTGCTAGTTGTTTGAGTTTGTTTTCAACTTGTGTGCTCACAAGGAGGGGGAGATGACGAGATGTCTTGAATTTTGGGGGAGTTAGCTGTATAATTGGGTCTTTGTCTTAAATTGAATTTTGGGGGAGTTAGCTGTATAATTGGGTCCTTGTCTTAAATTGTGTGGAAGTGTGACTAAATCATGGGTCTTTGTACTAGTGTTCATTTTGTTATGATGATTCGGATCATTTGTCATAGAATTCTGGGGGAGTTAGGATGTGATGTTATAAATTAGTGGTTAGCTCTTTAGAACTCCATAACTCTCTAGGATTGGTTAAGACTGTGTATTGACTTATGGACAACTATTCAAAGGTTATTCAGTCTTGTTTGGAATCCTATCTTCTGTTGGCTGCTTGTGTTTGTTGTGTGTTGTCTTTGCAGATGCTTGTGAGACACAAAGCTAAAAAGGGGGAGATTGAAGATGCAACTGTTGTACTAGTGACCTGTAGCTGGCGTGAAGTACTACAGGCGGTTGTACGAGCGGACTAGCTGAGCTTAAGGCCTCATGGGCTTGAAGAGTGGGCTGGACCGAGCAAGGATCGACGTGGCTTGATGATCTATATGAGCTGGAGGTAGTCCTTGAAACATGAAGATGCAGATGAGTTGGAGCAGTTCCTGTATTAGTGCAGAGTACTACAGGAAAGTGCTACAGACGGACTGCTGATGGAGAAACGGATCGGGCTTGAAGAGATGGGCTTGGGCTCACGACTTAAAACCTTGGAGAACGAATCTACAAGCTAAGTGACAGAAAATATACTTAGCTTGGAGAGGATTTAGGAAGATGAAGATTTTCATTTATCATTAGCAAAGATTATGGTAAGATGGATATTCGGGAAGATTTGATATCTTCCAAAACTTGGAGAAGAATGCTAGGTTAGCCGTCAAGTCCTATTGTGTATAAATAGGAGTGAAAAAACGTGGGTGCACGTTTAACACACATAGAGCAATTTCTTAGCAAAAAGGATAAGGGTTTCTAGCAAAAAGGAGATCTTGTATCAAGGGGCTAAGGGGTAGAGAGTGGTTCACGAGATCGGGTGTGACTCGTGAACGTGTGAGGCTAGGATTGAGGTGAGAGTGATACATGTATGTATACAAGTCAATCAATCTAGTAAACGTGTTTTTGAGAAAAACCTCGTGTGTTGTGTTCAGTTCCTGCACTAGTATCGTAATAATCTTTGTAGTAGTAGCTGATACATTTTCACAACCGACCTTATATTTCCAACAGCCAAGATAGCTGACTCACTTGACAGTTTCTTTGAGAGAACGGGTAACTTTCAAAATTTACTTATATTCACCCAAGACTAACTTGTATATTGCTGATAGTTGCTCTAAATAATCATTTATTCTTTATATTTGGATTATTCGGAGTTTATCAGAAATTCAACATAAATATCTCCCTGCTGTATACAAAAAGAGAGAAATTTAGTACAAGGGTTAATTAGATCGACCATGTTTGATCACATCGGGTGACTTCTGAGTAAGCATTAGAAAATATGTTATAGTACACTAGAGTAGTCTACGTAATAGAAACCACTTTTTATCTTCAAACTTGTATGATTCTTAGGGGGTGGTATTCAATTGAAGAATTTAATTGATTTGGAGAGAATTGGACTTTCAAGAGAATTCTAGTGTTATTCAATTGATTAGAATCTTAATTCTTTTAAATTCTAGTGTTATTCAAATTTTCTGCAACTTTTATTATTTTAGATTTCAAAAGAATTTAATAGAATTCTAAAAGAAAAATGTGAAGAGCCAATTCCTACCATTTTTGCAAAGAATTTGATGGAAACCAATTAATTCTTCCACAATACATTAAAATCAATTTTTTCACAATCACCCATCGAATACCACCCCCTTAATTAATTCATAAGCCTCAACATACTTGAACTAAACCAAATAAAGTTTTAGCCTTGAGTTTAGCTTTCATGCAGATCACCTGCATCTAGCTATTTGATATTTCCAATTTTGTTGGCCTCAATTTTTAGCTAAAAATATTTGAATAAAAACTCTTATTTAACAGTTATTGATAGTTAAAACAAGTATATATCATCGTCCTCGATGAAAATGGTGTCCCATGTGTAAAAAACTCTTTGACTAAGCATGGTCCAAATTGTTACATTGAGATTTCACACTGATTTTTGCAGCCAGACGAACAGCCATGTATTGGAGAAGTAGATTTATTCATGCACATGCTTGGGCTACAAATAGACTTCAGCATGCGACCACAACGACGTCAACTACAACAGAATGCAATTGCACAAAGACCCAATGAGGAGGAGTAGTAGTAGAACTTCTATATTCATAGCTAACTCGAATTGTAAAGAAACATTAGTCAAACTGTTTATGGTGTAATTTTTTTTTTGTAAAGCTTAACATTCTTTTCGAGGTAAAAGATCTTTGATGGTTTCGTATTCAAAGTTAAAAAACTTTCTCTTCTTTAAAATGGATTTCCTAAAATTTGCATGTGAACTTCGTGAAGATTTTGCTTTAACACCCAAAACAAGCTTTGAACAAGTTACTCAGGATTGTTTTGAGAATGTTGTGAAATAGTTGATACCTACCAAACATTGATCGGCATGATTGGATGGTCTCAAGTCCAAATAATATGATCGATAGACAAGGTTAGAGAATTCAAGTCTAATGCAAGTAGATTTTGTCTACAGATTAAATAGTGCCCTCTTCCCATTCGTTCTCGTCTTCCTTTCATCTTCATCGTTTTAACATTTTCTGGGTTTGTTTGTTAGTAACACCGTCTCAATATTCACTCGAAGAAGAATCCGCCGACCAGACATCAGTGCCTTTAAACTCCAAATCATATGCATCGCAACATTCAATCACTCTCTGTGGAAGCCATATCGCATCTACCTACCAACGTCTCGATGATCCGTTCACATACGTTTCAAAGTTGGCATAAATAAATTGGCTAAACATAAAAGCAACTACGTAAGAGTGAAAGACTAAAAAGAGGATCTAATATTGTGTTTTATTCTACAATCAAAATTCAAACATATGGCAAAGAAAAATAAGGAGATATACTTATATGAAGACGAAGGATACAAGAGGATGAAGGAAAAAACCTCTAAGCTACAAGAAAGAAGAGTAACTCCAAAAATTTCTTGTCGGGACACTGTGGTCGAGTGGTAAGGAGACAGGACTAAGACGCCAACACGTTTCAAGTTCGATCCACTTGTTACACGAAACTAAATCACATTATTCTGGACACCCACATGAATATGGACCCTTGCTTTCGACCCATTTGAATATCCAGAGAAGGGATATATCTATGGACTGCACCTCCCCCAGAGATTAGACTTGGCCATAGGCTTGGGATTCACCTGACTTATTAAAAAAAAAACAAAATTCTTACCAAAAATTCATCACTATTTTTAGCTTTAAGAAAAAAAAAAAAACCTCATCACTGTTTTCAAATTTCCAGGATTGATTTCGATTACACTAGTTTAAATACTTTAATTATATTATCACCAATTAAAGCTTTACGTCATCAAACTACGAGTTCTTTTATTTTAACTGGACCAAACCTAACTATGACCAAACGAAGCAAAACAAACACATTAATTTTAGGCAAGTTTTAGTTTCACTAAAACCGAGCCACCAAATATTGACACAATAAAACAATTGTAGCACATCCTATAGATTGAAATTTATAAGGGTGAATTTATGGGATAACCAAAAATAAAAATAAAAAACTTAAAAATAACTAATTGATTAAAG